CTTATGTATTTGTAGAGCGCTGAATCACCGCGAACGACGGAAGTTCCTGCGCACGGCACTCAAAGAGCTGTGGTTGTTGTTCTCCGATGAACCGGGTTTGCTTGGACCGAAGCTTCTGGTAGCGCTCATTAGCTTGTCTTTGGCGCGAGATGAAATCTGCTGGCTGTTGCGGCATAGCGAAAACGTTCCTTCGAAGTTGAGTTCAAAGGTGCGCGGGGCAGCTACCATTTCTGACAGGTTCTAACCGTTTCTTGGCTGAAAGAGGCTTCGAGTATTTCGTTTTACGGTATTTTCAGACAACTGCCAGAGCTGCTATTCTATATAGTCGAGATACGTGGCTTGATGTGTAAGTACGCCCAGGTAGTCCAGCGCTACTACGCGCAGTATTTGGTGGACTATGACGCCAGGGCATTGAAGGATCTCGTACAGAGCGTGCCGTCGATTCCTGAAGACGAAGGTGAAATTCTTTCGTCGGTCTGTCAAACTATCTCAGCGCTTCCTTTGGACGGTAACTCATATAAATAGCTACTTTAGCCTTTCAAAATTTCTGCTTCTCTCGAACTCATGTTTTTTAGTGAACGCCATCTACGACTTCCGCGGCTTCAGGCTGGACCTGTGTCGTTTACAGGTAAAATTTTATCTTATGCTTAAGTTTATGAATGCTAACTTTTGCTTTCATGTGTTAAAGCCCTCTGTTACCCTGTAATTTTTATTGGGAGCATAATCAGGGCGTTCACCTAGTATTTGCCTGATTGAAGTCAGCAAAACAATGGCTTATGACATGAACTGGGTGTAACCCTATTAAAACTTGACGGTGAGCAGCGAATGCCGGGAAAAATCAGTGTTCGATTCCACCATCCTGACCTATCCCTCATGTTTTACAGCACTGATTGCTAGTTTGCTATGAAAGCTGACGAGATTAAGCTGATGGTCAACTGCAGTTGAACAAACAATGCACAGTACCTTCCTTCCGGATCACGTTTTCAGTGCACATATCAGGCGAAGGACTGGAATAGCGGAGGTACTCTCTGCATCTCAATTCCTGTAAAAGATGGGCCTGCGGCGTGCTTCGACTGAAGAATAAAAATGCTTAAATTTAAATAAATTTAAATGTTTATGAGTTGGATTCCGCTAGACCGTTAATGGCCTTTCGTTCATTCGAATGTCGTTCAGAACATGCTGGCACAAAAAATGATCCAATTACCCTGCCCGCGATGTTGAGCGTGTGCGTACAACAAAGAAAATATGATAGAGCGTGACAAGATGACAAACGGAGTCAAATTAAATAATTATGCAAATTAAATAATAATGCACAGTATTTTTGGTAACGATCCACGTACTTCGGCAGTATTTACACAATCATCAGCGTTCTGCAGTCGCTACTACTAAATGAAACTTTCCATTTATAGTATCTGTCTGCGAGGTGTGCCTTATTTTATGCTCAGAGCCTTTTGTCATAGGCTTAATGTGTAGTTTCCTGTTTCTTTCCCTTGTAGTGGTACTCATCTATCAACCCTGGAAAAACAAAATGCGAATGACCAAGGACTTTTTGGTTCTGAGTCTGAAGCTCTGTCGACTGAGAAACCTATCGATGAAAGCTATTTGCTACATTGTTCATTTTTCTAACTTATTATGCAGCACACCGATACCACTTTGTTTTACAAGGCAGTCATTGAAAAATAGTTTGCCTCCCTTTTCAATCATTGTTTAGGCGTACATGAGCACTTCGCGGTCATCATTCAGTTTGCAGACACACGCAAAGTTAGCTTACCTGCTGAACACGGCTAACTTTCACACGAAGGCTGTCGACACGTTGGACGAATTGCTGAACGAGACGTCTGATCTGTCGCTTTATTGGTATGCGTCGAACAGAGACGTCGGTAAAAAAATTATTTCCATAGTTTCATTGCTCTCTTTCAGTTTCTACGCGCAGCAGTTTGAGCAGCACTTTCGGCTGTGTTTGGAGTTCCCAGCGCAGGTTCGCTACGTGTGTGCATTTCCACACATATGTTCCCATTTTATCAGCTGTGTACACGAAATGTGCCCTGAAGAGGTAAGCCACTTCACGCCATTGGCCGACCTGTATGAAATTTCATGACGTATTCTTCAGCGTATTCCGATTGGTGAAAAAAGCCTTTACTTTTGTGACTGGTTTCTGAATGAAATGTCGAAGGAGGCAAGAAACGTCGTAACCACTGTCTGCGAGCAGCACTGCATTTTAGCTGATGAGGTACGTGGCGTAAATCTTCGTAAAATTTGTGTTCGAAAAAAAATTGTTTTATGCCAAACACCTGTCGGTTTCGATAGAACTTCTGTATTTAAAACGATTATTACGGCTAATGGCCTTTGATGCAGATGATTTTGATGTGATTACTAACATGTGAAGGCATCGTAGTCTCTAGCAACTGTGCGTCCTCGACTCATCATGCCGGAATTAATGCCTCTCGTATTACTTTGCCTCAAGCGCCACCTCTTCTGTAACAAAGCAACCAGATTTTCTTTATCGCTCTCCCTCAGCATCTGAAGCAGTCCCTATATATAGAAAGTCATTGGTCTGATTTTTGCAAATTCCCATCCGCTCCATCTTCATTGTAGTATCGTCTCCGCCCATATCGTGATTGTATTATGCAGTGTTTTATGATTTTCAGTCTGATGACCAGCTCGCTTTAGGCACTTCCAAAAAACTGCGCTCTGTTTATGGGCGAACAACAACGTCTTCAGGCGAAGAAGGGCAGTACAAAGCAGGTGACCATGACCAATAGTATGCCAGGTCACGAAAGCTGTCGTAGAAGCAGGGAGGAGATGACCGTGTATGTTTGCAGGTTCATGTTTTCTTTGTTTTTGAGACACCCTCGCTCAATCATCCTTGATATAAATCGTTCTATAACGCGATTGCGTGTAATCTGATTTAATGCTGCAGTTTAGTTTATTATTTGTTTCTTTTGTTTATTGTTCAGTTTGCTTAGTCTATTGGTGGGTACATTGTCTTTTTTCATAGAACTAGCTGCATATCAAGAAGGGGGAGGTGAATTTTTTGCCTCTGAGAATATTTTTTCTGCTCCGTTGTTGTGCCCTGGCGATGATGACGCTGGCATGTGACATCCGAACGATGAGGAACTGAAATGATTATAGCGTGATTTTGCTGTGTTTGCTGCATGAATTACACCCTGTAGAGCTTCCTTTTTTAAAGAATTGCATTATCGACATCGCTCCTTTGCAGCTGTATTGCCATTTAACTATACCCTTGGCAGGAAGGATTCATGTAAATTCACAGACAGAAACTATGGTAAAAATTTATCATCCGGATAAAGCAGACTGACTAAATACATTCGTCTTAAGGGCATTATTATTCTCAAGTTACAAAACTACGTGTTTCAGTTCAGAAAGAGGGTCGAATTTTGGTACACTGTGAATCGAGGACTAAAGAAGCCTGCAAATCTAAACTTGTCCCTTATAATATCGAAAAACAGAGTCATCCTCTAAGTACTAACTGAAAGCTTAATCTCTAAATAGCAATCAGTCACTGTTACACATGATGGACATTATGGGCACTGCTCAACTGATTGACCTTTCACTTTCACATGCATACTGAAACTTTAGTACGTCTGGTACGTTTTAAGTAATTCCTGGGACGAATGTTAAGAACTCTGTTTCCCACAGCGATTATTTATCTTCATAATGATGCTGTCCCCCTCCTCCGCTGCAAGGACGCGGCTCACGGCGCGATGTTATTTCCCTGAAAAACTTTAATTTGTTTGTCTTCTAGGTTGGACAAGCTGCACTTCGCGCTCAGCGAATTGTGCTTCGCCATCGACTACTATTCAGAAGTCGTCGTTTGGGAGCACACCTTTGCCCCGCGCGAGTATTTCATTCAACACTTACAGTCTCGTTTTAACAAGTAGGATTGAACTTGCATGATCGAATAATGTCGATTGAATGTATTGTTTGACATGTTCCGTAGATGGATGTGGGGCTATGCTATGATTTATGAAATCTGGCCGACTGTTAGTTTCTTTTAAGGGCATTCTTGAACCTGACAGTGTACAGTGCCGAAGCGCAGACTATCGCGAAACCGTCAGATCTTCTGAATAACATGTGGTCCTATATTCAGGTGTTGAAAAGTTTAGAAAATTACAGTATGTTATGATTTTATGCGAGTACAAAAGTGCTAGGTTTATTTTTCTTTGTTTTCAGTTGATATGGACATAAAACGCATACTTAACGAAGTACTTTTGCGCCAGATGCAACCTTTGGACTACCAAGGTTCAGAGACAATCACGACTTTGTATACCAGATGGTCTGTATTAGCTTAATTTAATTGATCTTCAGTTATGTGTGATGCTGAGGGGATATATTAAGGGTTTTTTCTGCATAATCAATGTATAAATGTTCCTTTATTGCGTCCCAGGCAAAATTATTTTTGCTGTATGTGACTCGTAAAAGCGTCCTTTCAGTTTAATTCATGGTGATTTCCGATACAGTGTATTTGCCCATGGCCGCGCAGACCTATCTGAACCTCGAATAGCTTGCCTGCAAGGTATTTTTTATCAGGGGTATCTTTTGCTCTTTATTCTTCTAATGAAAATTAGTTGATATTAGCAATCTAAGTGCAGTTCAGAACGTTAGGATGAATTGTAAATATTCTTCGAAGATAGCGTCATAGGGAAACATGTTGTCCATCTTTTCTGTGTGCCATTGGAATAAAAAACGATCTCGATACACTTGATACTGGAACAGTGAGAATTTTGAATCATGCGGTAATAGACCACCTATTTTCGTTAATCAATCATCATTCTTCAGGAGTTGGCAGACCTCATTTTACCTTTGAATGAAATCTGTTTGGAATAATTCTTTTTTTATATTGAGCCTTATCATGAGCTATGACTGGAAACTGCTCATAGATCTCTCTGCATCAACCTCACCGTATTCGTGGATCATGCTGTTATAAGTCTGCTATCACCGACTAGTGAATCAAGAGCCACAATTTGACTTATACTCCCTTGTACCATTAAAGCAGGTCTGTTGTTATGAATGATATTCTAAAAAATAGCGGACTGAAGGACCAAGGGCCATCATTTCTTAACTAAAACACGGATGAATCTTTTTACCATGCTTTTTGCCTTCTGAGGTAGAACATTCTCAATACGTCTTTGAACGTGACTGACGCAAATCAAAATATAGTAGATTTGGCATGTGACCCTATCCAGTAACCGTTCGCACCTGTTCGGGTGTAAAGCAGACTCTCGACATAATTAACTGATTCTAACAATATGAAAATTGGATGATTCAAAATTTAATGAACTTCGAATAAAATCATTAAGGA